GTCTAAAACTTTTTTCTATCAAGGTATAAGGTTTTTCAATGTAAATCGTATCTCAGTAACCTAATTTTTTAGTTTTTTGTATCAGAAAGCATATTCTCACCGCTGGATTCACACTATCTTTTCATAAATCAGTTCTTAATCATTTTTTTGACAAATCGTATTGTTTGCACTCTGTCGAGATTCTACTGACTTACATAGATTTTTTTCACAATAATTACAGATCCAGCAATCCATGGATACAAACTTACGGCATCGCCATGAGGGGGCAGAGACAGATGTGATCGAACCGAATAACAATGTAAGAAAGCTGAAAGATCCGCGAGTTATGTTTTTCAAGACAAAAGAATTCCATATAAGAGAATCCTTACTTACGTGAGTCATTCTTTCTTTCTTTTTACTGAATAATTTATTTTCAGAACTCTTCTCCGCAAAAATCAATGATTCAAAAATTTCAGGACTCTCTTCCGCGAGACCGAAATCGGAGTGGTCTACAACCTTTTCGCAGCTGTATTTATTCTATTTTTTCTCAGAGCCCTTATTGATGATGTTTTTACCCATGGCATGTAAGTCTGCTGTTCACACCTACCCATTTTATTGTTAACCAATTACAGACCGTTCTACCACTTTTGGCTGATTGGCTGGAATTTTCAATATCTACCAGCAACACTATTCGTCTGGTCATTGATGTTTCTATCAAGTTTTATTCCTTACGCTGGTTTGAAAATTTGGGCCCATGTCCCGGCTAAAGGAGAAGTGAGCCTTAGGAGCGAGGTATGTAATTTTTTATTACATGAATAAATTTCCGTTTTAGAATTTGTAGCTGTAATTTACCTCACTTCCTTTTACACCAAATCATATTTCATTTTTTTCCACCTTCATTTTCATCTCGGAATTTTGTTCACTGCTTTTGATATCTTATTCCACCAATATTGGTGCACGTGTATGTGCAAAAATGGCTAAATAAGTATCCAGTGAATAAATAAAAACTAATTCTGCAAAATAACCTACATTTATTTGCAATAAAAGCGTTGCGCAGACGAGAAGCGGTGAGGTAAGAAAAATATGATTTTCCAGTTTTTTTTTTGTATTCACAATATTGAATCTTGTATCAAAGGCTGGATGACTTATCAATAT